ACTGACATTGGATGGCAGTTGTTGGATAGGAATACATCATCATTACAAGGAATTTTCGGGTACTCTGTGTTTAATCCACAGCATATAACATCATTAACTATCTCAGGATGAGGATCTATCGCAAGTGAGTCAGACACTGGTTTAACCTCAGATGAGCTTGTTACAGTTGTACCATCCAGTTCAGACGTCTCATGATCACCTGGACTGGCATCTCCTGATTTATTTTGTGCAGCAGATGTTTTTTGCTCGTTAGAGCTAGGCAAAGCCCCTTGTTTCGTATTATTTGTGGCGTTTACCAAAAGTGAGCCAAAGCCATCATAATACGATTTGTCAATGTCTTTACCTCGTACGTCCATGAAAGGATCCACATCATTGACAAGAGAATTTGAAAGCTCTGCCAGGAAGCAATCAGCGCTAGGCATTGCAGTCTTCGGTTCCTGATCAGCTATCTCTAGTTTCATCTTGGAGTCCTCGTGAACAGCATTATATCCAGAAGAACCTGCATTATGAATGAACGCGAGATCCCCTGCAACTACATGAGGGATTTCACCTTGTGAATTGTCTGCCTGAACAGGATGACTATCCTCAATTGGATTATTAGATCTCCCCACACAGCCCTCATCTGCCAAAATTTCAGGAAAAGCCTTGTGGATAATATCCATGTGAGACTCTTCAAGTCCTAAATGTGTTGCATTTCCATTTCCAATGAAATGGTTGTCATTTGGCGGAAGAAGGAAGGCTAGATCCATCGAACTAAATGGCTCCAAACGAAATTTCTTTCGCAAGGAATGGTAGGCACTGTAAACTTTTTCAGCATTCCTTTTTCCAAGTGAACTTTTATTTTCTTTTGAATTTCGAGCTCTACCAAATTTTGAAAGAATATTAGGGTTGGAGCGTTCAAGATCCACCATGCGAGACGCAGCATCTGCAGAAACAACTGGGTCATAAAGGAGTGCATGCCATCGTTCTTGCAGTTCCCTGATAGTGAATCTTCGGGAAAACTGCACTGCACCTTTAGCGAGTGCTTCCAAAGATGCACCTGCCTGAAAATCAATTATGGAGACTGGTGAATATGTAACTGCTGGATGCCAAACAAGCTAATCTAAGATAGATACAGAAGTAGTTACAACAAAGTAATATCAAACTTAAAAGGCACTCTTTTGCTGTCCCTACAGATACGTAGCAGCCCTAGCAACAGCAGCCTACTGGAGGATTGGTATTCTATTACAACAAGCCTAAGACAGATTTGGAGATTTTGGGTAGCAAATCAGCTGTATTTTGTTTACCACTTGCCATGGGAATCCTTGTTTTTGTAAATGCTTTTGTAACACCTTTCTATGAAATACTTAAAAGGCACTCAAACGAAAAAAAATTCTTTTCCGCTTTCTAGAAAAAAGTACGAAACATTTCTGCTTTTGATACTGTGTGAGAGAGAGAAAGAGGAATCAATATATCAGTGGAGAAAGGGTATCAAACATACATAGCTGAAACTTTAGACTGGACAGACTTGATGCATAAAAGCTTCAC